ACAGATTTCGGTCTACAAGTGTTCATAGCTTCCAAATCTTACGTTAGTATAGAGTCAGTCTTGTGTCGGGATTTCATGTCAGACTGCTGTCTAGGTATAGTCGTTAATATCTACAGCCAAACAATCAAAGCCAGCATGGAATAACAACACAACCTCATAATATAAATTCTGAAATCGGTAACATTCCCATAGAACTGGTAATAGCAAGGGAGTACAACATACATTACCATACAACCGTGACAGCAGTGGGGGGAAACAAGATATCGCCATACAATTTACGCCATCAATGGAATGATAACACAACACAACTATTGGTGACATTGTGAAGAGCACAAAACGACATTCCCTAACTGGTGTTGATAGGAACCGGTTCATAATAAATCACTATACATGTCTGGCTGGTGGCTATCACTATGATCATGGATCACTATGCAATTATATTGATTTCATTATTTTTTAATCAAAGGTTTGAATCAATTCATTCTCTTTATGAAATTATAATAAAATTAAAGTTATTTTTCCCTTCTTTTCATACTTGTAACTACTATGTAGAGTTTAGTGACCGTTAATCGATAGTTTTTCAGATATCATGAGATGCGGTCGGGTGTGATGTAGGTTTCAGAAAAACATTTTCTTTATCGTGCCAACGTTTCGATCTTTTATTGAGATCATCTTCAGAGCCTGGGATTTACAAACAATGTTTACATTTAACAAATACATTTTGGATGTGGAAAAGTGAATTTATACAATGCAAAATATATTTTACATTCAAACAATGTACCTCTACTCACTCAAAGTGTCTTCCTCTGTGTAATTCTGCCATCCTTGCGTGTCGTGTTGAGAGTGCTAGTGAAATTTTGCTGTTTTATGTTTATATATGTTTGGTTTTGAAGGGGTGGGGAAGGAAGTCGGTATATAAAAGACAACCTTGTGTAAGGCGTCGGCTTTTTTGAAGTGAAAACAAATTTTCAAAATAAAGTGAAAAAGTAAGGGGAACAATGTGTTGGTAATAGTTCGGCCAGATTATCCTTTCAGGATTATATAGAAAGGGGATAAATAGGAAAAGGAAAGCTAAATTGTTGGAAAATTAGACTATGTGAAAAGTATTTGACGTGTGGAATGTAATGTAATGATATATGTATGTTATCTATATTGTATTTGATTAATGATATTGGCGTAGCTGCGACTGAGTTTACAAGTATCTGTTCTGTAATTGATGCTGTGTTTATCTCTGTTGTTATAAACCATTTCTAAGAAATTACGTTTATATTTGTTTTGTTCTGTATATAATATGTTTATCTCAATAAAAGATCGAAACGTTGGCACGATAAAGAAAATGTTTTTCTGAAACCTTCATCACACCCGACCGCACCTCACGATATCTGAATAACTTGTAACTACTTTTAAACTTGTAAAAATAGAGGTTACATGGCGTGAATTAATTAAAATGTTATTATAGCTTATTATATTCGTTTCAATATCTATTTTGGCCAATATACAATTTGTTTCAATTAATTATTCTTTTTATGTAAGGTCTTAGTTGAGATGAAAAAGCTAGTGTCACGAGCGGGATTCGAACCCATCACCTTCGGCTCAATACGCCGCCCTTGCCCTAATCACTTGAGCTATCGTGACAAGTTGTTAGAGCAGCGGTGTATTAACCCAACGATCGTGGGTTCGTATTTTACTTTTTCAACTCAATCAAACCACTAAACATAAATGGATTAATACAATTTATTTTTAATCACAGATCAATAATAAATGGGCATTTGTAAATTTGTACCCCAAATCGTTAGTACGTTTTTGATTCAATAAATCCCAGTGGCAGTAATTAAAATAATTAATTTAATAATAATAAATTAAACAAACAAAATCGACTAGCCCCCGATTTTAGGTCATCATAAGTCAATGAAAGTAGAGCACAAAACGCGTCTATACTAGACGGCGGATGAGATGCTTCTAAGATAATCTCAAAAAATAATTTTTAAAGGGTCCATGTTCAAATTATATACTAAATTATTGTACGTTTTGTGTTTAGTTTCATTAGTATTTTGGAAAAAAAAGGTCGGGATAATTGCGTAATGAAAACGTGAAATATCCGAGGCCAGCAAAAATAAAATGAATTGTTAATCATAATATGAATATTATATATAATAATAATATGCTGTTATAATTATGTGATTAAAATTGTTCATGTTAATATAACCTTTTTTTTAATATACGACGGTGTTTGCCACCAATCAACGCTCGCCGTTCTATCTATGTATTAATTGAGTTAATTGGATTTGAAGCTAACTTCTGAACAATGGATAGACCAGAGTAATAGCGTTACCCAAGCTACCACTGTAATTGCCAGCTCGGTTGGGCGATGTCCACTAGTCTGGCTCTCCGCGTGGCTAATTACAGTACAACTAAAACGAATCCAGCCGACAAATTAATTCAGGCCTTTGGGACCTGGGGCAGGACGGATTAAAAACGAATTTAACAATTTATAACAACGGCAGAGAGGAAAAATGTAAATGCCAATATTAAAAAATGATGAGAACCAGGACAGGATGTCATCAGGCAAAACATTTTCCACGTGAACCCCATATTATACGAATTAATTATTATAGAAGCATTTTGTAAAACATGTTTATAAAATGCAGGCTTGAAAACCTAATTATAATTGAGATATTCGACTGATTCTACGTTTGGATGCTAAAAAACAAAACAAAATGTATGTCTGTCAAATAAGCTTTAGCTTGACAAAGACACAAAAATATGGACTGATATTTTTATGTAACAAAAGCACATTTTTTTAAACAAATATAATTTTTTACAAATAATTTAAAAGTCACGACAAAAAATAGTCTCAATTAGTAGTGAACTACGATGAAAGTTGAAATGGTTGATGATTGCGCCTGTCCCAAACGGGGCAATTGGAGAAGTATTTTCCAGTTGGCCTAGGATTACGACTAATCCGCGTAACACGTGGGAATGATATATACCGGGAAAATTGTCTTGTATCAAGGGTGATTACGGCTTAATATTTACACAGTACTGGACATCCTTTTACAGCCAAGATAACGATCGATTCGCATTAAAACGATTAATGTCGGTAAAATTGGAATTCTGAACTACATGAAAATTCAGCTAAAAATGCGAATACGTTTGTAATTGATGAGAATTAACATGAGTTTCTTAGACATGAATTTCAAAACATTTGGCTAGAATAGTAAGATCTGGCCAACTTGAAAAAAACTGTAATTTGTTTAAAGATTATACCATTATACAAGACACTACAAAATAAAACCTTGCAAATTGATACTTTTTTATTTACTGTAATTTTTCATATAAAGATAAAGTCGATAATGAGAAAGAGAGGCATAATAAGCATGAGAATATGAAGGTGAAAGGACGACGGACAGACAAACAAACAGAGACAGAAGACAAACAAACAAGGGGAAATAAATGAAGAAGGGACAAGAAAGAGGGGAAAGAGAGATAGATAGAAAGAGGAAGAGATATGTAGAAAAATAGGGTAACTACTATCGACCAGAAAGAGAGAAAGTGAGAGTGACAGAGAGAGAGAGAGAGAATGAAGAAAGTGAGAGAATTGGAGAGGGAAGGAGAAAGAGCTCTAGATAGGAAAAAAGAATTTCGAATGGAGAAGGAGAGGTACAGCTTTGCTGAGTAGTTATACTGCGCAAATTAATAAATTATATACAAGTTATAACTTGGGATTAGATGTGGTCGTAATTTACATATTAAAAAAAGACCATAGATAAGACCAATTAAAAGGAAAATACTGTTAATTCGTCCACCTATTAAAAAATACATCCCTTTCATCAGGACTTAGAAACTTGAAACAATTTAAAAGGCTAACAAATTGACCATCTATTCACAATCGTGAAAACTACGGCTTCGAGTGCAATAAAATTATGCATTGAAATGTATTGTATGCTGTACGATTCCACTGTTCAGATTCATTGTGCTTGAAACCACCCTTCATGAAAAGTAATTAAAGCTTCAAAATCCTTATGAAAAAGCTTTTACATTTCCGGAAAGCTCGTCGAAGGAACGCAGGTTTACTTTCAAATTGACCTCATCCATAATCGCTAATATATAATTACAATTTTGAAAGCTATACAAATACTTAACTAATAATAATTTATCCTTTTGTTAACATAGATTTTTTTGTTCTTTTGAAATATAGGTTTACGCTTAATGTAATTTTTGTTCAAGTAAAGTTGATAATTTTCTGACTTTAAACGAATACCCATATTCGCTGAGTTGCTTCTATTTACTTTTGTAATACTTTTATTATTGTAAAACGATAAATAATATTGCTTTGATAAGGGTTGTAAAACTTTATGAATTTTATTTTTCACTTATTTTGTACTCAATGTTTCTTTAGTTTTGTGTTAATGTGTATTATCATGATTTGGGTTTTTGGCGTGTTCATGTCACAACGATCCCTGGAAAATTGTGTCAACGAGTATATGTTTATTTATTATAATCCCAAAAATGAAATGTAATTGGTTATAAATCCAAAATATTTATATATTAGATAATATTGTAATACCATTAGTAGTGTTATTAATTTGTAATATGATTTATTTAAAAAGTTAATTTGTAAGTTGTACTGAATTAATTTACTTCATTTTACATGTGTTATGCGCTGATAAAATCGGAATTCGCGGAAACGAGGATCAACCCAACCCACAGAAGGGAAAGGAAAAAGGGTTTCCAAGCAAATTTAGCCGTACATAACGATTTAAGGAGGGGGAGCTCAGGACGTAGAAGAACTGTTAAAGAGAGAAAAGAGGTAGTGTCTAAAGGGTATGCGATTCAAATGGAGATAGATGTCAGTTTGGCTGAGCAGGGCCATTAGATCGGCGGATTTTATGGCCGGGACATTCCCGTCCGTAATTCGCACACCATCCGAATCCGAATAAGTTAACTGAGGGGGTTGGAAATTAACGACGGTAAATATCAGAATAAATTATCGTACTTACCGACATCCCTCGCTTTGTAACAGTCCGGGGCTTGGTTCTTCACGTTGAACGGAAGCGGCGTCGGGGCCGTTTCTCCTATGCAGTGGGAAAACAGTCCCTGCCTCCAGCCTGCGGCCATCAGCCATTCGTTGCTGACAAGTGCTAGCACGAGGAGGACCATGACCATCAAACCGCAGATGAAAGCTATCACCTGGAAAAAAAAATTATGTTATTTCTTTATCTTCTCACGAAGCATACTTGCTGATGAAAAAACCTCATAAGAGGAATGGATACAGTGGAATTCACTCATTGGACAGAAACAATCCAAGAACCCTTTTAAAAAGATGATTTCTACTCACAGTAAGTTGTTTTGCAACGATCCGGATTTCGAGCCCTTTAGCTCATCATCAGGTTGAAGGACTTCTACAACCATGTCTCTCGACATGAATTGCAGAAGTGAACCAGCTGATACCCCCGCCAACGCGACGTTCCAATTAGCAGCTGGTTTTTTAATGGCGCTCAATTTGAACGTGCGAAAAGCGGAAATTATAACACAAATAAATATTATAATAATAAATACTGTAAGAAATTAATTATAAATTAGTGATTAAAGATAAAAGACAGAAAATTAGAATGATACCTTAATATCATTAAATTATTATAAAAATAATAACAATTAAAATAATTAATTTTATTATTTGGACGTTTAATATTATTAATGTACATATTTAAAATGGGAGATAGAAAAAAATCTGTTATATTATTAATGCATTTATCACCATGTTCAATTTTACATTTTTTAATTTCAAATTTTTCAAACCAGGCTAGTGCTCTCTCTTTGTTGAAACTATGTAACACTGTTGTATTTAAATTTGAATTGAAATTATGTTTTGTTTCTTTTAGATGGTCCTTCAATTCCGAAAATTTGGTCGATTTAGGCAAGTGCTCTTTTACTCTCGTTTTTATTTCTCTACCGCTTTGTCCTATATATTTAATATCAATTAAGTTGGTAAACCCCGCTTTTTTCCAAGTTATCTACCTTGTCTTTAGGTTTTGAGAGGATGTTTTTAAGTGAAACCGTACTTCTAAAAACTATTCTAAAACCTTCTTGTTTATAAATTTTACTAACTTTTTCCGATAATTGGCAAACAACGGAAACCTAATGATTAATTTGTGGTGGGGTGACTGAGTCCTACTGTTGATTCGTTTAAAGTTATTTTTTTTATTCTTTTAAGTAGCAACCTATCAATAAATATTTCTATACACCCGCTGTTTTTTGCTAAGGTTTTAATAGTTTCTAATACTTTTTTATAGTTAGCAGGTGTTAATGGAAGTTTTAACATACGGTCTATGAGCCAAATGAAACCAGCAGCCTTTTGGGACCATGGGTGGGAAGAATCCGCTGGTATCATAGTGTCTGTAGTTGTGGGTTTTCTATAGTTTTATAATAATTTAATGATATTATTAATTTTCTGTCTTTTTTCTTGAATCACTAATTTATAATTAATTTCTTACAGTATTTACTATTATAATATTTATTTGTGTTATAATTTCCCTTTTCGCACGTTCAAATTGAGCGCCATTAAAAAAACCAGCTCCTCATTGGAACGTCGCGTTGGCGGAAGTATCAGCGGGTTCACTTTTGCAATTCATGTCGAGAGATGTGGTTGTAGAAGTCCTTCAATCTGATGATGAGCTAAAGGGCATAAGCTAAAAACAACTTGCTGCGAGTAGGAACTATCTTTTTAAAAGGATTGAACACCACACTCATTCCATCATTTATCATTTCTATCAATCCAAGAACCTCCTAACAAATTTCGGAAGGAAAGAAGTCATATAATGTATCAAAGGAAGCAGGAAAAAACTGCGAATCCTGACAGAATTCTTAACGGGACACTGCAAACTAAACGGACATTTAAAGAAGTTTGGTATAATCCAAGCCGGCAAATGCAGATTCTGCAAAAAAAGCAGAGGAGACACCAACACACCTATTAACAAACTGCTACACTTGCTCGAAGAAGGAAATGCTTTGGGACGTAAATATAACCGAAAAAAATTCAACCACTGAAACCGCGCCCACTAATCAAGTTCCTTGAAGAAATAGGACTTACCGGTGTGCTTTAAGCACATAACGGGGGATACAATAGCCCTTAAATGGCGCAGTGTATTACACGTACGTCTAAATCTACAACATAAGAACCATTCAAGAATTTACATAAAATGGCTATACGAAATATAAATAAAACGATAAGTCAAAATAATGTATTATTAACAATTTTGTGGCAATTTCAATTAGTATGCAGTAATTCCGTATTTTCTACACAAACGGCTGTTACCTACGACAAAACTATGATTTATGTCCGTTTTCATTGTTTATTCTACCCTTAAACTCAATACAATCAAGTTTGAATCTTAATAAAGAAATTCTGTGAGTAGAACCGTCATTTACACAAAGTGAAAAAAGAAGACTTTTTTCATTTAACCACCACTGGAATTTTTTCTTGTTAATTAACATACGTATTAATAAATGCTGAATCTGAATATGTGTACATTTAAACGCTTCCGTCCCACTCCAAAATACAATAATGTTTTAGAGTTGTAGATGCCATAGCGCAGAGAGGAAAGAGCTCTCGTTTTCAGGCTACAGTATTCCATAGAGACATCCCATAATTTTGGCTAAGAGGAGGCCTTCAAAATGAGACATCATTACAACAAACTAACAATGAACAAAACATCGTTACTTCGACTTATTTGGACAGAAAAGCTATAGGGTACCAAGAAGCCACCCAATATCCAGCACATCCAAGCATTTCAATCAAAAGACATTCTGTTTCTTAAAGCTCTTCTTCACTACGTGTCAACTTCACCATCTACAATGACCTCAACATTCAGTTCAAGGTTCAAGGCTTGATCCGTTTACGCTTGCTGAACTTCCATTCTCACCTTTCGTCTAAACGACATTGGCAGGGACCTGCTCGCCTACTTTTCCCTCAGCAGAGAAAGTGCCAGTTTAGACCGGTTTCGTGTCGGAGTACTGAGCGTAGTGCCCATGTGACTAGGAGAAAACCATAGGACACATTTGTAAAATTGACGAATGTATTTAAAGGATTAAAAAAAAATTGTAAGTTTATTCGCTTTTTGTATGGAAAATAATAAAAATTAAAAAAAATATTGGGGTTTGTGTGTCAAAAAAGATCATTACTTTTCATTAATAATCTTCTATGCCTAACGTGACGATATAGTTCGAATATCAACAAAATAGCATTCGTAAAACAATATAAGAAGGCTATTGAAACAGAATTGGGTAACAAATGATATTTCACTTTTACTATGGATTCCCTCCCGGGCAAGAGGTTAAACTGCGTCCATGTACTCCTCCCGTACCTGGTGGCCATCCTTAACTCTCTATCCCCTACTTAAACCCATACCCTACCTTTCACTCCATAACAACCCTTCCCCCACACTAACCTTTTCCCTCTCCTATCCCAGGCGTCCCAGGGTTTTAGGGAGGAGGAGGTGTGCCGGTTCACCTTTAGTGGCAGCCCCACTAATCGGCTAGGGTCGGAAGGGTAGCTGCCTTCCGACCTGAATTACGTAGCTCCGAAAACCCTAAAATCAAACGCCGTAGATCCGGAAGGCGAAATGCCGGTGACGTCGGGGGCACAGGCCACCCCCGGCGTTATTCCCTCGGGCCCCGTTGGTGTTGGTGGAGAGAGCAGCGCCACCCAACGTAAGGATACTGCTGGGTACGGAAAAGGAAAAACAGAAATAGTGAGGACACTGCAGCCATTTGAGCCGGAGTCCAAAAAAANTGTGTGGTGATTAGTGACCGTTAATCGATAATTATTCAGAAATCGTGAGATGCGGTCTGGTGTGATAGGTTTCAGAAAAACATTTTTTTTATCGTGCCAACGTTTCGATCTTTATTGAGATCACCTTCAGGGCCTGGGATTTACAAACATTGTTTACATTTAACAAATACATTTAGAATGTGGAAAAGTGAATTTATACAATGCAAAATATATTTTTTATATTCAATCAGAGTATTTCTACTCACTCAAAGAGTTTGTCTTCTGTGTAATTGTGCCATTCTTGCGTGTCGTGTTGAAAGTGCCAGTGAGATTTTGCTGTTTTGTTTTATACGTTGGATTTTGAAGGGGTAGAGAAGGAAGGTATAGAAAAGGCATTTTTGTATAAGACGTCGGCTTCTTTCTGGTGAAAAGAGCCGACGAAGGGAAACAATGTGTTGGTAATGGTTCGGCCAGATTATCCTTTCAGGATTATATAGAAAAGGATAAATAGGAAAAGGAAAGCTAAATTTGTATAAAATTTTAATATATAAAAATAAATAAAAATACACTACGGTATTTAGTCTTAACAACCGTCTGGCGGAAAAACGGGCAAAAAGTTTTTTCTTCGTTATTTCTTTTTTTTTAAATAAATAAACACAGCACTATTATTCTTACTAAATCCTAACAATTTGTGTGTAGGGTATTTCATTAGTAACCTCTTGGGAAAAAAGACGTGTTAAATATAATACCAATTGAAATAAAATCATCTTAAATAGTTAAAATATGAAATCAATTCTTTCCTGTAACACAAGGCTTCTTTAACAAAGTTTACTAAGTGGAACACTTAGAATTATTTAATGAGGCGATTGTATATTCTCTTGTTAATGTGAATTCTGCCAGAATACAAAAAGGCAGAACACATTCTGCTAATATATGGAAGGTGTCTTCTCTGGCCTTGCTACTGCATAGGGAACACAAGATGATGCCGTTATCTATTGTTAGATTCTAGCTGAGAGGAAGCAACTCAAATAATTTTAAAAAACCAGCAAGCAAACGAGACAGAAGAAATTCTCAAACTTATTAAATAAATTTACACCAAGCGCAGGTTCGATGGACGACAACAGGAATGATGACGTGTGAAGGAAAGATGACATGGACCTGTGCTAGACGTTTATCAATGTGTACGGTCGGAAGTGTTTTGTGTGTACAAAACAGGTGAGTTTTGTAAGCAGAAGTGGACAATCTTCGACGTTATCCCGGGAAAATTCAATATCCGGGTTGAATTGCTCCGTCATGTCCCGCCAGGCGGAAAACCATATTTTGTGGCTAATAATTTCTGATGCTGTTATTTTAGGTAGCCGGTGATCGTGAAGATTTAGGACCCTGTGCCCATAGGAAATTTGAAGCTTTAAAGAATATA